GTGTGGTTGTGATGAGAAAACGAAAGAAACTGAGATTTGGTGAGAAAGTGCATCGTTGTGTGAATGTGTGCATCCATGTTGCAGTGATATGGATCTCATTAGGTATGGTCTGATGATTTTTTAGGGCTGTAAGTCACTGTTGGAAGCATGAAGGAAAAGTGACAGATACAGAGTGGGAGTTAAGCGAACAGGTGCATCGAAGTGGACGTGTATGAGTGAATGCGTCCATTAAAAGGCGACTCTACGAAAAGATCATCCCTTCTATGGCGGTTTACATTGATTTGGCCTGTCTCTGGGTTAAGTCTATCTCGCAACCAAGACGAAAAATCAGAGAATGTAGAATCGCAAAGTATAGTGAGAAAGCCAGTGTGCTTGTGCATTTGATCCTCTCCGAATAAGCGCTGTTTGTCTCTTTTGTTCTCTTCCAAAGATTTCACGATTTTCCAGTAGTAAGTAAGCTCTTGGCCGTGACAACAGTGAAGGCGGGAACCTCTTCTCAAAAGAGTTTCGATCTCTAAACGTGGGTTGAGTTTAAATTCTTGGTAACTTTTACAACTAAACAATATACATCATTTATGACTTTACGACCAGATCGCAGCCACAAAAGAAAGATTGGAATGAGCAAAAAACACGTATAAGTATCGTATTTTGTTGGCGCAAATACATAGTTTGAAATCCTCGCATACAATCCGCATATCTGTGAATACATTGATCAGTTCTGAGGCTGTCAGCCTAGGTCAGAGTGTGAGAACTAAAAGGTTCACGACAAAGTGCATCCGTATGACTAAGAAACCCATTCTAAAGCCTTTACATTTTCAAATAAATTGAATATTTTCGTGGTTTAGACGTGGCGTGACTTTGAACTCGCACTCGCAAGTAAAAACGAAACGGGGAAAGGATCCATAACCTGGCGAACCGTTCGTGGAGAGTGGGTGGCTAATCCACTGATTTTATAACCAGGTGGTGGATCTCTTCCCTGGTCTCCTGCTGTTTTCATATGAGGTATATTTAAAGAATAAATACATCAGGAAACGGGACATGACACTTGCAACCACACAGCAGCTGACCTAGCCCATCGTCATCGCCATTTAACTTGAAAATATAGTTATAAATAAAAAATAGAATTGGGGAAAGGAATAGAAACTGGGCGAAACGTATCGTGTGGGAATATAGAGTGCTAAGAAGAATAACGCTTGTGCATCGGGTCCATACATCCGCGCATAAAACGACACGTTCCCCGGCCCAATGATATTATTTTTTTAAAATAAATACGTTAGGGAAATATACAAGTATTCGGTGCAATGTGGCGAAGGAACGCGCATGACTAGATAATTGCTAGAGCAACGTCATCCATATCTAGAGTATTCATAACCATACGAATTCTCTAAACCATTTCCTTTTACAAATACATAAATTGAATATTTAAAAAAATAATAATTATCAGAAAATGGAGGTGGAACTTGGAGCAACGAAGAGAGGAAACAGAGGAAATAGGGCAGTAGAACACTAGTGCATCACGTCCTTAACACCATTCGGTGCACACCTTATGTAGTTCAATGCTATTTAAAAGTAGTTCAAGTAAAAATGGATCTTCAAACTGAAGGGATTAGAGAAAAGTGGCGAGGAAATGGTCGTGACAGCAGCAACGAAAATCTTGGGTGCCCTTACAATTAAAAAATAAAGGGGGAAGGTATGTGGACTTGGTGAAAAAAGGGACGAAGAAATGCGCGGTGACAGCAGCAATTAAATGCTTCGGTTTCCAACAATTGTAATTTAAAAAAAAAAGACGTGGAATTAGCGAAAAGGGGCGAGGAAACGGCGCTTATAATATTGTAACAAATAAAAGGGAAAAAGGAAAGGGGGCTTGGTGAAAAAAGTGCTTGACAACACCATTTAAATTCTCGGGGGCCCTTACGTTTTATTTATTTATTTTAAGAAAACTAAAGGAGAAAAGGAACGTGGACTTAACGAAAAGAGACATCAGCGATTAAATGCTTGGTACAATTGTAGAAAAAAAAATAAATAAAGGGACAAGGAACGACGACTAGGCGAAAAGCGGACGCGTGGTGACAGCAGCAATTAAACCGCCTGTGTCCCTGACAATTGTAAAGGAACTGGAAAGAGACGTGGGGCTTGGCAAAAAGTGGCAAGGAATCGCGCGTGGTCACAGCAGCAAGCGGACTCCTTACAACCATGCGGCGAATCTCCTCGGTGGAGAGGGCGGCGCCGGGCGAGACGACAGCGGCGGCGGCGGCGGCAGCGGGCTGCTCTCGCCCGTGGTCCAGCGCGGCGCCCCGCAGCAGCAGCCCGCTCAGCGCCAACGTGAACGTCGCGCCAGCCGCCAACGCCGCGACCACCGCGCGCCGCCAACGCGTCCGCGTCCAGCTCATCGCGCCGCGCCGCGCCGGACCCCGCGGCCGCCGCCCACGCTGTCACCGCCTGCCGAAACACGCGTGTGTGGGCGGGGGGCGGGGGGAGGGGGCGAAGGCTTCCGCGTCGACGCTCGCGATCGCGACGCACGCTCGCGCGGCGACGGCGCGTGAAAAAGAGAGAAAGAAATCACGCTGCATGCGACGCGAAAGAAGTGAAATTTCACGCGTGTCGCGTTTTGTTGTAGTTCGTCGCGAGTCTTGAGTGGTGAAAAGACTGTGCTTATTCATGTTGTATTTGTCGTTTGGGGATGAAACGTAAACACGTAATGACTTCCGTATGGAATAAATCGTGACGTTTGAAGGTAATAGTGCTGTTAGTGATAGTTCCTGCTGACTATAGTACATGTGCATCTGTGTGCGTATGTGGTAGATATCGCGTTATCTTATCCAGTTGTTGACGTTGAGTTATTGACGCTTCGGAACGTAGTGACTTCGTTTCAGATTTCAGTTCGTTGCAGTTGGACTGCAATACCGGAAAAGATTCCTAAAAAAAAACTGGGCATTTCGCCGTGTGACAGTCGCATTAAAGGCTTATTTAATACGAAAAGAATCGTGTTGCTTTCAAGATGTGATTAAACATCTCTACACCTACGTAAATTGACTAGGAAAAAGTTAAAATCACTGTTTTAAAAAGCCTGTGTCTACCGTGCCGTAGCAGCGCGCTCCCTTTAAGGTACATGACACGCTGTCAAGAAATCTGTTCGGTAAGTGAAAGAGTTTCTTCTTTGCGAACCGGACTTTCGCGCACACGCAATAAACCGTCACGTCACCCTTACCTGTGTCACAAAAAAGAACACCTTTGGCGTTCAGCGAAGCTGCGTACCACCCGTCCGTTCTGTTGAAACTGCTTGGAGACGCCGCGCTACAAACACACGTCGTTAGCCTTGAAAGCAAAGGTGACTGACTCCGGGCCGGAGCGCTAGTCTGGCGGAGCAAGTTCAGCTGGTGGCGTTCTTCACAACGGGAAGGTGTAACTCCTGGATCTTTTGTGTCTGTAGACTTCAATACTTTCTTGCATTTCCTGATTGCTGTATATTGTAAAAACGGCCCGAAAACTTTTTTTACGATGGTTTCCCCTTATAAATATAATTTTTGATTAGTAATCGAGGAAAATATGAAACAATATTTCTAAAGACCCCCAAGAAACTCTAATTTAAATTCTAAATTAAAATCAGTAAGAATTATTCCATTTCCGTTTATAAATTTACTTTGTTCGTATTGGCACGCAGTCGCTTAAAAGTGATACGCACCCGTATTATTTTCACATTTCTAAATACTCACATATTTTTTCCTTATGCTGGGCAATGTGCATAAACAATTATAATTTTTATTAGTATTTTCTTACCTGTATCATGTGTTATTAAATAGAATTATATAAATAACCACACATTTATTTGCATAATGGACTAAAATATAGTATTGTAGCAATGACAATGGCATTTCATTTTTGGTCTATGAACGAAGATTGCTTATAATACTTGTACGAAGGGTTCTCATGACAGTGGAATTCAAAGGTACCACTTTTGTCTACTACGCAATGATTTGCACCTAATTGTGTCGATTGTGTCGTTCTGAGATCGCGCTTTTCAACTGTTGAGCAGCCATGATTGCACGAAAGCGCTGCCTATAAGCCACAGCTGATTGTTCTTGTTCGCAACAGTTCGTAAGTTTTCGACGTGCAAGTCTTGTAGTTATTTTGCTTTCGTATAATAATATTGTGATTATGATTGAAAGTAAAGTTCTTTTCAGAAGTTGTGTTTAACTTTTATACTTAGAAGCAGTTCTGATATTGTGATTTGAACAAATGCATACAGGTTGTGTGACCTCGTACATTGTTGAATGTTAAAACAGTCCACTCTTCTCAATTTATTCGTATGTTACCCTGTCATGCAGAAGCCACTAAAAATAGGTTCAGTGTATCATGGCAAATATCCGCATTTTGCTAGTGGTTGGTGGTGTTTCGATATTTAACAGTGTTTCAGGTTATCCATCATACTGGGTATACCAAACCAGTGCTTAGCTATTTCATCGACTTACCTTTGTCTTTCAGAGGTTATGACGTTTTATAGTTTTATGAAAGAGATGCTGATTAAATATTGGTATTTTAGTTACGCGAAACTTCAGAAACAGAAAAGATGTTGAAGAATACTATTTAAGGCCGTCATATATCGTGTTAATTGTTCTTTCTTCTGTCGTTAGTCTCGTGTTGCCGCACAACGTACGAATTTCCAGTCCGTTGTCTTGAGGTTAAGATTTATTATCGCGAATGTTTCTAGAGTTATCGGATGTTTCTGTCCGGTGTTTATTTGGAAAATTATCACGAAAATGTGTGGCGTGTGTGATCCTTGAATTTTTCAAATTTTAGCATTGACTTTTGTAAATGTCAATTCTACTCATTGTATATTTTAATATTATTTTCTCAGTTCCTCCATTAACTTCTATTTTTTGGAAGAGGAACGATATTTTTTTTATTTAAGTGTGCTTTTTTCAAGTTACTATATACTGCAGACTAATTTTGTACACAACTTTCTATTATATTTAAATATTAATAATGTTATTAATTTTCAGTAATTGTATCCTGAGTATTGAACCAGTTAAATTTAAGCAAGATGACCTCCGAACTAAGATCACGTGTGCAAAATTTACCGAGTGGAGACTCTCCAGATTCATCATTTGACATAGATGAACAACCTGTTCCAGTCAAAGCAAGTGTATGTCTCTTGTGTTTTTACATGTGTATACGTGTGTGTGCATGCGTTTCATTCTTCCATTTAAAACCAGTTCCATTATTATTTGTGCTGATAACTCAGTTTATTTTATTTGTTTTTATTGCCCAATTTTGAAAAGTGGTTATGTTGTATGTTTTGTTGGTATTGATGGCTTGTTGAGAAAACTACATTAAAGAATAACAAAAGAGGATTTCAGCTTCCAAAATTGTGTTGACGTTTGTGCACTTAGTGATAAATCTTCAGTGGCGTGTGAATAATTCTTCAAAATTCTGTTTGTGTTGCTGGTGCCGCTACTTTTATATTGACACTAGTTGCTATGAATGCTTTGCTATAATTATTTGGGCACAAATGCATTCTAATTATAGTTGCTCGTAACTATAAAATGTGTTTTGTGCATAATTGTTGTGTTTATAATTTTATGGAATTAATTTGAAGTTTTGTTTTTGCAGAATAAGCGAGTTGGTGGTCAACCGATACCCATTATCATTCCTAAAGATGATCACTCATTTGAACTAGATGAAGCTGCTTTACAGAAGATATTACTTCAGACTAGTATAAAAGACAAGAACGTTGTTCTTGTATCAGTTGCAGGTGCATTTCGTAAGGGAAAATCATTCTTGTTGGATTTTTTCCTGCGTTATTTACATGTAAGTTAATGTGCATTCTCCCTTATTAGTTTGTAAATCGTTTTATTATTTACTAGGATAATGATTTGTCCTGTAATTTCTTATTACCTATTGTTCTAAACAATAAATTATTACACCTTGGATTTTGTTTTTCCTGTCATTCGGTAATCATTTTTCACAACAGTTAGGTGAACATGATAAATAAATAAATAAATATATAAATATATATAATGTAATACAGTGAATTTCCAGTGCAGTCGAATATCTTTTGTTTTTGTCTCTTTGTCCCACATGATCAATATCATCAGTTTTCGGAAGAATCTTGCAACAATTGCAATGAATATTGAACCAAGTACTGTGTGTACACATATTCAGTGCAGTCTTAAATATGTTACCTATTTGACAATATGTCAAGATTGCTAACTGACTTGTTCAATTTGGAGAAAAAGTTGAACCTCGTGTTAACACTGGTATTGAAACAAATTTAAAGAAACCTCATATAACCATTGCAAATTTGGCTATTGTAGATGTTTCATGACTATATTTATACAGCAAGACAATACCGCAATTACAATATTCTGATGGAGTGTTATGTGTGGTGTCTTCGGAAAATCTGTTAAGGCAAAAGTACAGAAAGTATAAATCAAAAGCATGAAATCTGTAACATCAGGAAATATTGCCAAAGTGAATAGAAATTCATTTTTAGCATGTCCCAAGAAAGTGCAAAAAAGAATGGAATCTGTTTTTGTTTTTTTTTAATCACATATTTTTTTTTTTTTTTTAATTTATTTATTTATTTATTTATTGTAACATGTTAGGAAATTGGTCTGTAATTAACAATGTACCTTGATAATATGTTATGAAAGAAATAATGTATAAAGTAGTTTCCATTGCGTTTGATTTTATAATTGTGCAATTCAAACACCAACAACTTCAGTTCATCTTCAACCATGCATGTTCCATTAAGTTTTAATTAAACAACTAACTATTCTAATTTGATCAGCAACAAGAGAGAAAAAAAGTACATTCATTTGATTTTTGTAGGTTCACGTTCTTTTTGAAGATTGTGGTTATGCTGTTTTGCTTTCACATAGAACATATTACAGATAGAATAGGGGCCTTAATGAACATCACCATCATTAGGGACATATTCTGTTATATTATATCAGCAAAGTAAATATTTTGAAGATCATTGCTGGCAAAAAAAATGAAGGATTGCTGATATAACACGGCCATCCAGGAAGTTTCGTGAAGCTAATATAAATGATTTATAGATTTTTAATTTGCTTCAATACATTGTAGAAATGTATGGTTTCTTTATAATTTTAACTGATTTCTATATTAGTTCAGTGAAAGTTTTTATATGCTTTTGCTCTTATTATAATTTTTGAAAGAGTAATATTTTCGTCTATCCAGATTACTAATTTTATACTGTTAACATACATAGTGTACTTTTATTCAAAATCTTAAGTGTTAGAAATTATTTTTGATTTCTTTTAATTGTTGTTTTGTATGATTTATTTTAGAAAACTACTTCTTGGTATACTTGTTCTTTCTATTTATATTTTGTAAATTGTCATTTTCACATTTCGATGTGATCAAAAAGTTATGAATAGGCTAGAGAATGATTACTAGATTGAGTAGTAGAAATGTGACATCATGATGAGAAATTTAAATATCTTTCAAATTATTCCATGAAGGAAGTGCTAGCAGATACTGGGTTTCTTGCAAGAATGTGTTAAGATTTTCAGTCTATTTTAAGTTTGTTTCAAAGTCAACACCAATTTTTAAAAAAAATTTGAAAATTGTAATTTTGACACAAAGTATAAGATGAGGTTATGGTGTTCAAATTTATAACAATTTGTATTTTATTTACCCCTATAGAGTGGTAAAAAGTATATTTTCTTAGTCTTGTTGCTCCTTTTCCAATATCTTGTGAATTTTGGGGTATTCAACACATCTTGTCTTTATTCTGTATCTACTGGTGAAGTATTCCAATTGGCCCATCAGTAGAACAGATTAAAAGAATATGTTACCTGAAGAAAGGAAAGTGAAAATTGCAGTTGGTAATGTTCTGATAAAATGAGACTATGCTATGATTATTTAGTGTTTGTTTTAATTGAAAAGCTGATGACTTATTCGTTTTGCTTTGATTGTGTATTTCTGAAAAGTAATGCACAGATCTATTTGCTTCTCTGTGGGTCGTAATGGTTTTTTGGAATGCAGTATGACGAAAACAGTTTTCTTAGTAATTGCTTTATCCATTTAAAAGTGAGAAATCAACCCAATATAATTTATTGCTTTCAGTTACTTAATTATTCCATCTTATTTAGAAATTGTTTAAAGATAGTAGTTTTCTTCCTATATTTATATTCTGATTACCAGGAATTCCGACATTTAAAACCCCTATACTTAATTTTGTTTTAAGCACAGTTGTTAACTATTTAATTAATATATTAGGAGTGTTCTTACTGGGAAATCATTTTCAACACTCTTCACAAAATGTACCCTACATGTAGCATTTGGGTGTCCATCAGTCACTCGTGGTTAGACATCTTCTGGTCTACCATTTGGTGCCCATGGTGTGTTATTTGATGCATCTTAGGCACCACTCTTTCTTGATTCTTCAAGAACATTCTCAGAATTATCAAGAAAATGTGTTTTGACTGTTTTTAAACTCATTAGTATAGTTATAAAAATCTTACTGGGTTACTTAGTATGTATTTGTTGTATTTTCCAACAGTAACTTGAATTGTATATATAAAGAGATTTTAAATTTAATTTGGTGCTAGGATAATTGAAACTTGACGCATAAGTATTCATCCCACAGCAAATAGTAAATGCTTCGTAAACATTTACTCTTTATTACAATTTATGCTGCCTTATGTAGACTTCTTGTCTGGTTTTCAATGAAAACTTTAGTGAATGAATAGAAACTTTGTATGCATTGTCTGTATTTTACGAGTACCTAAATATGAACTTTTTTCCCCCCGAAGGCTGGCGGAAATGATAATTGGATTGGAGATGATGATACCCCTCTGGATGGATTTTCATGGAAAGGTGGCTCGGAACGTGACACATCTGGTATATTGATATGGTCTGAACCTTTTATTCGAACCCTGCCAAGTGGTGAACAGGTAAACATGATAATTTTTCAGTTTATTAATAATTGAAGGGCTTATTGGAAAAACAGCATTTGTCCAAAAATCAAATTTGTAGGAAATGAGGAAAAAACATCCACCTTCCTAACTCGCAAAGATACAGTGGTCGATTAATAAAATGTTTGGTTCCTGAACATGCCCTAAATTAATGATTATTCCTGTAATGTAATAATTATTCCTGAGGTACTGGAACACTGTTCCATCATGTTCCACCAGAAATCAAGCTCGGGAAAGATATATGGAATTTTATATTGTAAAGGAATACTTTTACACAGCATGATACATAAAATGCCGTTATGAGTAAATGAAACAATATATTTCGCAAGTGACAACAAAAATTAAAATTAATATATATTCTTTTTGCTTGAAAATTGTGGATTACATAAATATAGGATTTGCTATTATGCATATATCCGCACAATTAAGTACCAGAGACTTGCAAAAATTAAATTACAAGGATTGCATGGTTATTCTTGCATATAATGAAAACAATTGAAGCTCTAACGAATACTTTACCGAAGCGTTCTTAATATATTGTAGATTAACTATAATCTTCAATAAATGCAATTAAAATACTGGAAAGAACTGCTGGAATCTGATAACTCCTACTGTTGTTAACTTCATTTGTTCATGAGTTATGTTGTTTTTGTTTTTTTACTGGAAACACTTTGGATGTATGATGTTCTTCCAGAATCAGCTATTTTTCTTAGTTCATTTTCTGTGTGACTAATGCACTTTAGTCAGAGCCTGTATTTTCCTCTGATGCCTAAAAGTTCTCACTATAAGATGGCAGCACTAACTCCAGTTTCTCAATTTTGGACTAATGCAATTTTTCTGGGACACCCTTCATTTGGTTTTAATATTATCTTCCTAGTTTGCAGGAATAGCAGTTCTGTTGGAGTAGTAGTAGAAGTACTAGTGGAAATAGTAGTAGTATTAGTAATAATAATAATAATAATAATAATAATAATAATAATAATAATAATAATAATAATAGTAATAGCAGTAATAATAATAATATTGTAGCTAATCAGATGGCTGAGATGGCTAAAACAGTAATGCTGTTGTGAACTCGGACCGGAAGATAACATGTTCGAGTCCCACCCTCACTATCATCGTTATAATCATCATTATTTCATCTCCCATACCCCCAAGGCTAACAGCCCTTCAGGATAAAATTGGGTCTAGCTCATTGCTGATCACATGATAAAATTACATGCACTTGCCTCCGAGATAATGTTACTGAGCCTCGGTAAATGCAGGGTGGATGCATTCATGGTCCAAGTTGGCCTATTCATGTGGGGCGGGGGGGATTAAATATTATTATTATTATTATTGATAATTGATATTATTATTATTGTATGAAACCAGGAAATGTAATAATAATAATAATAATAATATAATATAACAACAATAAACTATTGCCATATAGTTTTGTGAAGGAAGAGATACTTGTGTAGCGATTGAATTATAAAGCTGGTGAAAGCTTTACTTTATTTTTCTATCCACGTTCTCTTCTCTGTTAAATAAGAAATGCTGGTGTATCTGATTGCTATGAATTATTCTTGATACTTTATTGACCTTCTATTAGTGTATATGAGGATGCATAACGCAAAGCAAATGAGGTTGGACCCAAATACGGTCAGTATTTCTCTATTATCTAATGTAATTGAGAAAATTATTTTGTAGAAACCTATTTACTTGTGCAACAATAAAAAACAGGAGAAGACATTAAATAAAATTAAACTGTTCAAAAGGGTTCTTGTGTTAAAGGCCCTTTTTTATGGTGGTGAGTAATTTTTCCATAAGACAAGTGTAAAAATACCCTTCTTGAAGGAGCCTCCTGGTCCCATGACTAACGGCCAAGCACATGTCGTACAGTGTACTTAATTGAGTGGTGACTTCTAACAATTAAACTTTATTAGAATGAGATGGGAAGGGCAGTAGAAATAGTCAAATCAACTTACGTTCTTCTGACAGGAACAGTTGTCATATTACACAACAATTCAATCTAAAGTTTCTTTCTTATCTAGTAGACAAATTAATTTATGTTTCTGGCATAAAAAATTAATTTTAAAAATTGTCTGTATGAAACGACAACACACTTGCATTGCCTATTTTAAAGAATTTTCGTGGAGTTTGTAACCCTCCTCCTCTACGGGAACAACCTGTAGGGCACACCACTTCCACAAAATGTTTGCAACTGTCATTTGCAGACTCTTCCTTGAAATTCTCCTGTTTACTAGCTGTGAATTGTATTTTGAAGTCTTATTTGTTTGTTAGTAACGAGTAGTAAATTTCAGTGAGGATGGAAAGTGAATAAGAGAATAAGTGTGTAGTGACTGTTATTTGACTCTACCTGAAAGAGGGTACATAATCTAAGAAAAGGAGGAAGGGATTCAAAAAGAAAATTTGCTGATGTTTTTAAATGCTAAAGGACACAGATTAATAATATAATAAAAGCAAAGGGCACTTCTTAAGGAAGTTTTAAAACTTGTGCAGCAAAAAGATATTTAAACATGCCAAACAAGCAACTCTACAGGACTTCTTTGTGAAAAATTAGTTAAAGCCATGCGCGAACAAATTAGTCTGTATGTTATTATTGAAATGTAGTTTGTGTAAGTTGTAGTTCATGGTTTAAGGTAATTAGATGAAATAATTGTACAGAAAACATATTCTGTTTTAGGGCAATTAATACTATCAGACCCGACGTAAGCTTCTCTTGAGCCTTGTCACAACCTTGATTAAGCAGCTACCCTGCATCAATTGTATTTTTTCACTAAAACTATTAGTGAATCCATTTTGTGAATCATTATCATTTCTTATATAGTTTTTTCTGCAGATGTGTAGAAACGCTACAATGGAACCGGGAGAGATGGCTCAGGGCATGAACTGATGTCACTGCAGTCCCTCTGGCCAGGAGGTTCTAGGTTCGATGGCAGGTTTTTCTACGCTAGCTTGTTAGATAGGTGGAATTCGGTCGCTGTTTGGAGGAGAATTCTAGCGCCCGACTGCTCTGATCAGTAGATTTCCATGGTTTCTCCGTTCAACACTAGGCGAATCCCGCAGCAGTACCCCAACAAACAGGCCACGCACCATACACATTCTTACCTTCCTCTTCCTTGTCCTATCCTCGCCTCTTACACACACACACACTTACACTAACATGCCCTACAGTACCACAAGTGACGGGAGACCGGTCTGGAGCTAAGAGCTTGTCTCGGCTGGGGCTGTGCCACGCTTGTGGGGATGGTGGAAAACCTGATTGGGGAAAATCCCGCTAGTCAACAGTAGATCGGTGCTGGATCTCGCCATACAGCGGGACAAAGATCACCGCCACCTTCGGAGCATAACATGCCCTACACTTGACTGCTGACTAATGACTGCTAGTTGACGAGCCCGGAATCACTAAAACAATCAATCAATTATGGTATAGTGGATAAGAAATTTTAAACTTGCCCCTAACATTGTGAAGCAGTTCTTCATGTGGGATGTTTGGGACCAAGAAAAACTCAATCCACCAATTTCAAGACCCCACTGCTTCTCCTCTCCCTTCATTTTATAAAAAAGTATTTTTTTTATTTTTATTCCTCTGACAAATTGTTGAAAGTTGAAATGCCTGGTATGGGTGAGAACAACTTTGTAAAGATTCAATAATAAAAACCCAACAAACAAAAATGACACTTTTTCCAGAGAATAAGAATTTTTAATCCACTTTAAATTGAAAATATCTGAAAACATTTTTTATTTCAGACACTTTCAGGTCCTTCTTCACAAATATAATATATATATTTATATTTATTATCAATTGTTTATTCACAATTTGTTCCTTAGATGAACATTTGGAGAATTATTTATAAATAGAATTAACTTGAGTGAACAGTTGTCCTGTGACAGCACTTCTCAGATACAAATTAAATTATTTATCTTAGTCCAGTGATTACAGGATTTAAACAATTATGTATCTTATGTCTTCACTGTTGCCCAGGATAGTCACTGCAAGGTCATTTGTATGATTTTCAAGTCTGTTCTCGTATCTTCTGCTGTATTCTGTAACGGTCTGATAGTTGTAATCTGTAAATCAGAATGTGGAGTATTATATCATGGTGCATTTGTTAGGTATCGTAGAACAGTTGATTGAAATCTTTGTAGAATTGGAATATTAGAATGTCTATTCCCCAAAGTTGCAATCCATAAGTTCAAACTGGTTTTAATATCGCCTTGTAAACTAATAATTTATTGCAGAGAGGGAGATGGTTTTCAGACAATCATCCAGTGAAGTTTTCTAACAAGGGAAATAACATATCCTTCATGTAGAAACACCCCTCGAAATTGTATGACTCACGCAATGCACTATCAGAATCCCATATCCAAAATATTTGCTACCAGTTTCCTGTGCAAGTCCTCCAAATAAATCATCAAAAAACATATATAATAACTAGGAAAAGGATCGGAGCGTCTACAGGTCCGTTTGGGCAGCCCTTAATGCGGGCGAATTGGTGCGAGGGACCCGAAGGTCACAGAAGAGTTGGCAGGCTCCGTCAGCGGTCCTGCAATAAACAAGGAATGCATAGATTCGCATCCACTTCATCTTTCCATGCTACGAAAGAAAGAACATGCGCAATGGCCTCAGAGCAAGTTGTTTTAAATCCCGTTAACATTGTCGAGTTCGTCTTTGAGTTACTTTCGTGACAAAGGTTTATCTCGGACGGGAAGTGTAAATGAAAAAGAACGAGAAATGGGTCAATGCATCATTGAATTGATTGAAAATAATAGCAGAGAAGCGGAGCGTTATGAGGAATCAACCCTCGATGTATTCGAAGGAAGTGTTTGTGAATCGAGTACTTTTACCACGGATGATGATATGTGCAAGCGTTTATTAGAATCAGACTGCGAATCTCCAGAAACAAGTGATGCATAGTGTCAGTCACCCTGCAAATGCTCCTATGCAGTTTTTTTATCCAAGCCACATGAAAAATGCAAACGAAGATCTTGGCATTAGCTACAAGAAGAAAGTTGTGGAATTCTGGTTGAATGAGAGCGGTAAGAAAGATATTCAACGTCACATGTTCGTAGAAATATTCACAACGTGACGTCAGAGCAACAACTATATATGCAAGTGGAAAACAGCAAATCTTAGATAGCACTAAAAAAATATGTATGAGAAACTTTGGTCTCGATTTTAACTTGCAAGAAGAACAAATCAAAATGTGGATGATGAAGACGGTGGACCCTGGAAATTTCACACGGAACTTGCAACGAAAATATGAACTTTTTTTGCCTCTCATACCTGGATCAATCGTTTTAAAAAAGCACATAAAATCAAGAGCAGGAAAGTAACAAAATTTGAATCACGCACTTGTGTACATGACGAAACAGAATAGAATGTTGTTCCAGAGGAATCTCTCGAAAATACGAAAGAGAGATTTTGACATTACTCACTGTCTTCTGGGTACAAAAGAGACCAAAGTGGATTTGAACGCGAAATACGATCAAAACGGACATTGTCGGTTGTTGGTGAAAAACACATCCAGTCAGTTGCTCAATCAGTGCTTTATCACATTCATACGCAATAATGTCAACAATAAATATGGATGGATCTGTGATGCCTCAATTATTTATGGTGCTGCAGGAACCAAAATAATTTTTCGGTCCTGTAGTCTCCAAAAGAATGTTTTAGCCGAAAACCTAATTGTTACTGCTACAAAATTACGAAACATGGGAAAGAAAGTTGAAACAGTGGTTTAAAGAAGTGTTCTTCCCATTTGTGAACGAAAATTTTGTGCTCCCATGTGATTCATAGACAACGTAAAATGACAAAACTCGTATTGATGATATCCCTCCAGGTACGAAAGTCGAATTGCTCCAGGTACTACTCGCTCCCGGAACTACAGGAATAATCCAACCACTTGAGAAGTTCTTCTTCCTATTGTGGAAAGAAATGTACCGCCACTTGTCAGAAAAAATTGTCTCACAAGAGTATAATCGAAAAAGTTTCCGATAGAGACACAATTATTCAATTGTAACCCTTCATTCATTTTCCATTTTCTTCTCCTCGTTTTCGGAATATGATAAAGTATTCTTGGTTTGCTGCAAGGTACATAACAGAGCGGCTTCCTGAATTTGTATTGCCCGTCAAACATTGCCTTGAAAGTACGAAAAACCATTGTGAAGAATGTGACAATGAAGTTTTTATTCGTTGTGCCTGGTGTCAAAAACATTTATGTTTCAATCATTCAGTGGAAACCCGTCATTTCTGCTTTTTATTCTTGCCGCACTAACTTGCGATGAGAGACTGCTCCTGGCTTTCGCCTGCCCGCCCGATGGCTTTGTGGCCCGCCCGCTCGACGCTAGTAGAGGTGTCCAGCGGCGCCGCGAGACTCCATTGCTAGATAAGATTTTAGCTTCAATTTTGGAGCCTTGCAGTTGAAAACTGGCAGCTAATATTTTGTATTTGGGATTCTGATAGTGCGTTGCGTGTGCCATAAAAATTTCGAGGGGCGTTTCGTCTTTACTTCTGTTACTTCCCTTGTAAGGTTTAGGTCCAGTTCCTTTCGTGGTGTTTTTATTTATATATGTTGGCTCTCCAGGTTAGCCTTCGGTCGAGGTGCAGACCTAGATATTTAACTATTTCAGTTTGTGATAATTGTGTGAGGTTTATTTTTACTTGGGGACAAGTATTGTTTCATAGGACATCAATTTTAGAATATTTTTTTGTGAGTGGAACATACTTAAGAAAATTAAGAACAGTTTTTTGACAGAAAAAAACAAAACACATTGTGAGACCCTGCTATTGAAAAAGTAGTATGTAGTAAAGTGAAAAAGTAAAATTGATTATCAGCAAAACATCTGTCTGTCTCTGTGTGTTGTCACAACTAGCACGTAAACCATTTTTTGGCTTTTAAGGCTTTTTCCTAAAACTATGATATTGAAGACTGACCTTTTTTCCTTAATGAAATCTATTCTTCAAAGACATCTTTAAATTAGGTCATGTACAATGTTTCAAAATTATGTGTATTTTTCATGTAATTTTTTTTAAATAAAGACAATGTTTAACCAATTATTTTATTAAAATGACTCCAAAGATTTTTTCCTTGGATAGAGCAAAGGGTGCTTAAAAATGGTGAAGGCCCTCTTTTCAGCAAACTTTTTGTATTGTTGCAAAATGAAGAACATTAACGTTTTGTATGTTCAATATTGAGATTTTTTCCCTTCACGAAATCTTTTTTAAAAACAACTTTGTGGCTTTCCAATTGCCTCAAAAATGCCTTTCTATTTGATAAATGTCCTTGTGTTGCCATGTTTGTTGCTCAAATGCTGCAAGGTTATCCAATCGATCGTTTGAGAAACCTAGTTTAGGTGACATGTTACATCCCAAATGGTGGTATGGAAATTTCTTGAATATATTTTGAATGATTTTCTATTATATCTGCAGAATAAATAAAGCTACTACAAAATAATCAGTTCGCAGTATTTTAAGGAATATTGGGAACATCTTCAAATACTAAGATCCCTTCCAGTCCTCAAATGTGAGCAGGCAGGGGAAGCGCTGTGTGACCTTGTGTGGTAGACTTACATTCAAAATATCCATTTATCACTAGTTGCAAAAAAAATCAAAATTATGTAAAAAAAAAGTGCACGACAATTTGTGTATCATTGGATTTGACTTTTTACGCTCATCATGACAGACTGAAAAAATATGTATAGTTCCATTTGTTAAACAAAGTTACCTCAAATATCTTGTAAAATACAAGTGATCAAATAGAAATGAAGCCCTATTCCCTCATGCATTTCTGTGAAAACTGCATTGCAGTAGCTTCAACCATTCAAAAGTTACAGCAGGTGCTAAAGTTACGTGATTCACTGTGTATATTACAATGTACATTGAGAATTGAAAAGTCGTTAATAAACTGTAATTGTTGGGGATACATTTAGCATTGTACTGATGGTTTAATTGTGCTAGATGCTGATGCTGTTGAGCAGAGGGCAGGGCACTATTGGAGAGAAGGGGGAAGTCTCAAGGCTGGAAATGGTGATACTTAATGGCTACTGGGCTCATGCTGCAAAGGTTTACAGGGAACCTTGTGTATTTCACCTTTATTTATTATTATTATTATTATTATTATTATTATTATTATTATTATTATTATTATTATTATCATCATCATCATCCATAAAGGGACAAAACAGGGTAGTTAATTATATAAAATTAGTGCAAGGAAAGAAGGATAATTTGTTTAATAAGTTATTCTGGGTTCTTTATATGCTTAAGTATTTTGAGTGATACTGTTCTAATGAGTAATTGATGAACACAAATTCTGCATAAACCATTTGCATTTGAATTGATTTTACAGGTAGCTGTGCTTTTGATGGACACCCAAGGTTCCTTCGATTCAGAAAGCACTGTGAAAGATTGTGCCACAATTTTTGCCCTTAGCACAATGGTTTCATCTGTGCAAATTTTCAATATTTTTCACAATATCCAAGAAGATGATCTTCAACATTTACAGGTGAGATTTAAGATGTGTTTCATGTACATGTAGGCATGCTTTTGTTTTTGATTACTTGTTTGTCCAAAATTGAACATTCTTCTTTTTAATATTTTATTTGGAACTAGTGGGACCCATGCAAACCTCCCACTTTTTGATAATCATGGTTTAACTCTTTGACTCTGTTTGGAGTCTTTTCTGACCCCAGACGCAAATACTGTTTTGCAACACTGAAAATTATTCACATAAACTTCTCTTTTTAAATATGCTGTTTCAATTAAGTTTTCTTGTTTTGAAGTAATTCGATTTTTATGCGGCTGGAGTCAGAAATACTCCCAAATGGATTCCACATTACACATATAAATTATAAGAAAAATTCTAAAAATGGGTCCATTTTCGTTATATAATATTATCTTGTTGTTTCTGAATGGCATATTTGTCTATTACAAGTTAGTAGCTTTGTATCAGACATTCACATGCTGGTACGGTAGACACCTATGTGTAGTTCTAAGGATATGTTTTTCTGGAAATATTATTCGTTTTTTTTTAGAGTGATATAGTAAATGAACAAATAAGTCCCATAATTTTCTTAATTAGTAATTCCAAATAACATCCATGCATGAAATACAGGTAAACTATTGGGTAAAACGTGTGGGGTGAAATCTGACCCCCAAACGGTCAACGTAAGTAATGAAGGCACAGAGTCGAACGGTTAAAACCTAAAATTGCTTGATGTTGGAACCCAGCTTCAAACAGTCAGTTTTTGAGCTGTGTGTTATTTCATATAGATCCTGTACCGAGTGAGGGTATCATTGTGATTATGTTGAGGCTAGCATGCAATTATTTTGACAGTTCCAAATAACAATTGAGCATTGCTGAAGACCACATCTGTTCATGAATTTCATTATTCTACCAGCCATATCGCCTAAAGGCTGATTTAGTTTGTTCCGGTATAGTCATAAAAAAGAATATTGTAGGAACTAATATCAATTATGTCTAAAAGCATGTGAGAGAGTATTAAAATAAATTGATTGTTAGAGAAATTCAAAGGAAGTCCATGCTCATTGATTGGTAATTGGACAGCCCTCAATCAACAAATATCAAACATTCATTTTATTTATGCTTTCATCTAAACTGCAATGTATCAGTTTTTAATCATAGAATAACATGTGTAAATAATATTTTACATAGAGGAATATTACAAATGTATGTATATAGAATGTGTATTAGAAATTTTAAAGTGTTTTTCATTTATTCTAAAAAAACATTAGTAAACTACCTTGAGGCTCACATTCTCCATGTGGCAAAATGAAAATAGGAGTATCATAGCCCTCAGCTCTAATTCGCCAATGTTCAAGAAATGAATGTATTATTTGTACAAGTTACTCTCCAACCCCCTATGTAGATTCACTTGACTTCAGTGTCAAAATAATCCCTTGCGTGACTGAATAAACTATATCCCTACCAAATACTTACTTGAATTTTACATAGATTTCTTTACTGCACGTGCACCCAAGAGTAAGTGTTCCCAAACCTACAAAAAATGTAATGGAGTTCCACAAAAGATGTTTGTTTTTTGTTTTTTTCCCTTATATATTGATCAGTCACTAAGATAAACCCGTCATCCTGAACAGTTCGCATCAGGTGTGTATCTGCAAGTGTATGCATCAACGACCAGAAGTATTTTGAAAAACTCTTTTACTTACCAGATATCATGATTCTAGTGGCAAGGCATTCAGTCATGGATAGATATGCCAATGACCAAACAAAGTTATATAAATTGTGTATTTTCGAAATTTTAGAGATTTGAATATTAGGGAAAAAAGGTGCAATTATTTTAATGGTAATAGTTAAAAAAGGTGAGAAATAGTTGTGAAATAATGAGAAGCATGTAAAGAATTAGTTTGTTTGAGTACTTTTACTGTCTTTGATAGTGTTCTATATTTCTATAGTTTATTCTAGTTTGAGTCATTGCAAAGGGTTCCAGTACTGATTAACTGATGTGCTACAGCAAGAAAATGAGAGTGTAACCCAAGCTGCAGCACATGGGTGTTAGGGATGCAACTTTTGATCCGGTGATACTTGACCTGTATAAGTACTCAGTGTCTCGACTTGTGGGCAGCGAGTTGGGCTTGTGCTTATTCAGAACAACCTTTTCATGCATTGAATGCTGAAATGGTAATGACTACTCAGTGGACTGTTTGCCCATTTTGAATTGTTTTTGGGGTAGGGAAGCAACCATAGAGAATGACAATTGAATACCAAACAAAATATAAAATAATTCAAGGGCTCAGTAGAACAGGGGGCTATTCCACATTGACATAGTTGTGAGATAATGAGGGTATTACCTGGACTTTCCTTATATCTTCGACCCCCTGATGAATAAGCTGGTAAGTCAACATTTTGATGAAAATGAGTTAATTACACTCCTGATTTCTCTGATATTTTGTACTTTTGCGAATAACAAGACAAGTTTAATTCCCTCTAGTTGATGAGTAATAGACATGTGTATTAATGAATATCACGTAAATTTCTTAAAACAAGATTAAGTTGTCTGGTTATTCACGCTGTATCAATCATTGGAGATCACTGATCAAAATCAAATAAGTCAAATTGTCTCTTTTTTCACACTAGAAGATTCACAGGAGAGAAATATATTAGTATAGTTATCTGCTTATTCAGGTAAATATATTTGTTGAAGAGGTCATGACTAACCCAGAATATGCTTAACATGACTGAATCTTGCTTGAATACAAGCGGAGTATGTTTATGTGGATATTTTAACCATAGGCTAAAGAGGTCATTTCTCTATGTTTTAACCTTTTGTCACAAAGGGGCCAACAGTGAAGTGAAACATAGTCAGTTAAGAGGCGGATGTATATTGCGAGAGAATTGTATATTCCCAAGAGATCCAGTTCTGCGAATTGATTAGACGAGAATGAAAATGGAGATCATGACACCAGAAAACAAAAGTAACCTGCTGTGCGACACTGCAGATCAGACACTTGGAGAGGACGTACTTAAGGAAAACATGCCATCAAGTGGTCAAACTGTGTTGCCCTTTCAAACGCAGGGCCGTAGGCATTCACCAGTCTCATTAAAGGAAATTAACTTTTTCTACGAATCCAGATGAACTTGCATGACTGTCATCATGTTGGCGCGAAAATAGTTTGTGTGCTGAAGCTTCTGTGAACAAACTGAAGGTTGCAGCTCCATTGAATGACAGAAATGTAATTTACAAAATTCAGATCACTATAATGAACATAAGCAATTCATGTAAATTAGTTAAAACTACATTGAATAAAAGTCTATATTAAAACATTACTTTCATAATTTTAGGTGTAGTGTCTGCATCAGTGATATTCACATAGCAGTTCTTGCTTATTCGCCACAAGGTTCTGGCTTTGTTATTCAATAGGCTTTCAAATTTTTGTATTACTTATGCATAGAGAATTGACGGTAATAGAATTCATACAAAACAGAAAAGAACATTGTTTCAAAAATATGGTAACTTTCACTCCAGTACTTTTCAAAAAGTACTATTGCTTGGACACGTTTTTCACAAAAATATTTTATTTCAAAAATTTCACTACCCTGGTATATATCACAATAAGGAAAGATTTTCCACAGTTGCTTATGTTCACAAAATTCACACCCCCATAGAGACAGAAAGTCTTCCTTCCAGAACAGCCAACTTTACAGATAGGACTCATTAAATGTACATTTTGAATCAACAAACTTCACATGAAATAAAAATAAATTCTCCAAACATCATGAACAATGCATTCAATACCATCGATTATTAACTATCCATTTGTTATTTCAAAAACATGCACAATTCATAAAATTAAGTTGCAGCTAGAGTCAAACAAAACTTTTCTTATTTTGGAATGGATTTGCACGTGAGATTCAAAATTTTCAGAAGTTCGTCCAAAATTCTCTGAAATTTTACTAATTTTACTAATTTACTAAACAAAAACAAGGTCAAACATTGCACTAAATAGGATGCTTGCTAGAAGAAAATAATCTCAGAATTATCTGAATCGATATTTGTTAAAAAAAAGTCAGTCACTATTTTATAAAAATTAATGTGTTCTGTATTTTGAATTCTACATGGATGGAGCTACATGTTTATGTTGAGCTTGATGTTAAAACAATGTTATTTCCGCTAGTAATATTGATATTCAGAGAGCTCAGATGTAAGTTTTGTTAAAGTGGCATCAGTGGGTAACTGATGTTACTTTAACACAATATGAGCAGGTACTTTGGAGTCATAATATGGAGCCGAGGAGGACATGACAGGTATTGCAGTATCCAAGAAATAATGGCATATTATTAAAACTGCAAACCCTTTGAAATTTGAGGTAAAGAAAGTCACAGGATCCGATATTATTGATATCAAGAAATGGCGGAAGATGATAGTTGTCCCAGAGGAGACAAAGTACAAACTAAGAAGTGAGAGTCACACTTTCTGTGAGCATTCTATACCATTTCAAATACAATTAAAAGCGAAGAGTATAAACTTGATGGTACAATTCTGTAAGAGGCCTTTTCTATTTTTTCTTACGTTCTTGGGCAAACTCATAATCTTGTATAACCTAGACATTCCAGCTCATCCTTCAGGAAAGGTCCAAATCAAAGTGTCAAAGTCAGACATGGAGAAAATCAGACAGTAGCAGAGTATATGGAGTTCTGAGAGAATATACTGCAGTGGCCAGTTCCTACAGAATCTGTAGTGGATTACGAATACGAAGAAAGGGAATTGAAGGATTTAGTTGTTTAACCTAATACTTAATGGATAAATTTTTGATATGCTTGCTTTAATTTGGTAAATAGGTTTGCGAAATGTGAAGACATGCTTTTAGAGATAGATATGTAATATTTGTTTCTATCCCCTGATAAACTTGAATGATTAAAATAAACTATGATGTGAAAATACAAAAAAAATATTCCAGTAATTTTAGACTGTCTCCAAGTCTTTTAGGGGCTGTTGAGCATGTTGCACTTAAAGTTATCCTCCATTACTTTAGTACGCTTATTATTAGGAGTAATCCTCAATCCTCCATTACTAGTATGTTGTCAAGAGGGCCTCCAGGTAGCATTTCCACATACGCATCTCCTACCACACGATCCTGTGTCACTACCCAGCAGCCAGAATTGGGAAGGAATAAAGAGAGGGCTTAGGTTTAGGACACTTCACAGAGGTTGGACTAGCCTCTGTGAAGCAGGCAAACTCGTTTTGTCATAATAAATTTCACATGAGGTTCTACATCAAACCTGGTGGTGAAAGGCTAGAGACTTTGGCACTGAGCCATGAGAGCACCGAGAGGATTAGGTTGTAAGCCTGTTCCGAAGAGATCTGTCAATCCTCTTGTAATACATTAATTACATAATTTCATTACACATGTTTTCTAGAAACAGTTTTTTAGTGAAAGTTAACTTTTGCTTTGGTTAATAGGTTATTTTGATTTTGAGGTCAGGATGTTAGTCAATGAATGACTAGATAAAGTGTAACGACACATTTGATACTAGGTGGTTAGATGCCAATTGGGTCTCTGTGCACTAGGCTTTTTTCTCCCTAACAACAAAAGCAAGATTATGTTCGGAAATAGATTTCATGAGCTATGGAAAGCTGCAGATCAAGAATTAGATAGATAGATTTATTGAAGTTCGCTTTGAGCTAATGCTTGGTGGCAAAGATGATAACAATTAGAATGAGAATTACAAAACATTTTCAAAATTTACAATTAGGTTTACTATTAGAATTAGGGGTTGATATCATAGTTCCAATTTATTTCTAGCTAACTCTAAATTC